GGATGTCATGCCAACCTGAAAAATAATGTCCAAGTAACAACATTAAATGGCAAGGGGTATTAACATCTGGAATGGATAAAGAGGGGAAACGTATTTATATTATCTTTTTATTCATTAAATCATGTCTAAATGGTACATTTCAGTTTATGATTATAAATCATAGCAGTGCAAAATAACTAACATTTGTATGATGTACATTCAGTTTGCAGAATTCTTTCATGAGCATTTTGCCATCCGAGCCTCCTAAATGCTCATCAATCAGGTGGCAGATATAAGAACCATCCCAATAACAAATATAGGAATGATACTTAGAGTGGGAAAATGGCTTGTCCAAGGTCACACAATTAGTAACAGGAAAATCTTGTACTTGAACCTAAATCTTATGAGTTCACAATTTAAGTTGAATTTGGGAAAGAACAGCCTTATTTTGTAGTGTCACACTGGTGAGGCCTGGGACATTGGACTGCAACATTAGGGTTAGGTCACCTGTACCTTTTTTTTGTGTATGTGTGAGAGAGAAATGCAAATATCAGGCTCCACCTCAGAACTCTGGGGTTAGGGCCTAACAATCTGGTTTAATGATTCTTCTAAATGATCCTCGTGCTTCTAAAGCTTGAGAATCACTGTGCTAAAGCAATGACTCTCAGCTCTGGCCACACACAGGAGTCACCTGGGAACTTGAAAAACTACTGAGGCTTTTGTCCCAACCCCAAAGATTGTGATTTAATTGATCTACAATATGGTTTTCAACCACATTACTACTGACATTTTGGACTGGATTATTATTTGTTGGCAGACATGTCCTATGCATTACAAGATGTTTAACAGTATCACTGACCTCTACCCTATAGATGTTAGTAGCCTCCCTCTCCCCCACCACCAGTTGTAATAAATGTCTCCAGACATTACCAAATGTCTCCTGGGGACCAAAGATGAGAAGCACTGATCTAGAGCCATGGCTCAAGCACTGGGATTTTTAATAGCTCCCTAAATCATTCTAGTGTACAGCCATGGCTAGGAACTGTCACTCTGGAAGGTTCCTTTTAATGAGCAGCTTTAGATGTCAATGGACTAAAGAACAAGAAAAGCTAAACTTTCAAAGTTTAGAGCATTGGGTGTAAAGTTAGAATAAATCAACGTGCAGTGAAAACTCTGGCACTTTGTCCAGGAGTCAAGTAATACAGGCTTTAGGGTGTAAATTTCACACCAACCATGGGCTCCTTACATTTCTGCTTACTTTCTGGCTGTTGGGTGTGTTCCAGAAAACTGACAGAAACAGGTACTCTGCTCTTATCTAAAAATTCCCAACCAAGTAGATATTGCTTTGTGCTAAATATAAAAGTGGGCATCCTGCTTTCGGGCCTAGTCCTTCTAAAAACAGGAGGCTTATCAGTGTATCATGTGGTACAAGTCCTTCTGTAAATCTGTTTTGACAGGCTTAAAAAAAAATCAGCCTGTCAATTTTATGATGTTGATTTTGACACAATCCAAATCAGCCATTTCTACATTATTTTGGGCCAGTTAGTAGTATTTTCATTTTCAGATGATGATCAGGGACTTTATATTTCAACTGTAGGAAAATTCCTTATGTAAGAGAACCAAGGCAAGTGTCCTTCAGTAAATCTGTTCTCTGCAGGTGGCCCTCTGCTGCCTCAGTGAGTGCTCTGTGGTGTTCCTCTGTGATCCCAAGAAGGGGAGGGCACTGTGTGCATTTTAGACCATAGGATGGGCATCATCTTCAAGTGCCTGCTCTGCACCCCTTGTAGGCTGAGCAGTCCCAGCCTAGCCCAAAGTGACAGGTCTTTAAGAAAAGTTTGCGGCATGTCCTCTTCAACCTGGGTCTTAAGTAGTACAGTATTCTCCCACTTTCTCAAGTAACTATTGATAGGTGATTGTTTCTTTCAACAATAAGAATGGAAATGCTACTTTGAGAGACTGAGAAATAAATTTTAAATAGAAAATAAATTATAAGGTGAATGTGTTGTCAGGGCAAAATTGGTTATACTAAGTACTATGTTATATGCTTTGAAATTATTGACCCTTTTATAACAAAAATAAGAACTGACTGCTCTAAGGTGCCAGATTAACTCTGTGAACCAGTTGGTAGTAGCTTGTTCACATTAATGAAACCAACTAATTCTTTTGCCATAATCTAGTTTATCCTAAGCAGTTGCTTATCTTTTTCTATCCTAGCCTAAATTGTTTCATCATTGTGCTTCTAAAAATTAAACCTTTCAATTAGGCTTCCCTAAAAGACTGTTAATAGGTATTGTTTTCCATATGGTTCCACTTGTTTTTATGAAAGGCATATGCTTGTATGTACATAGGAAGATTTCTGGAAGAAAACACAATTAACAGTGGCTGCCTTTGGGCAGGAAGTTTAGGGGCCTTGATTGGAAGGGAGACATGCTTTTCATTATACTTTTATACAGCTTATTTTTACCATTTAAAATTTTTAATTTTACATACTGGTATATAAAAGAAAGTGTACGCTCCCTGTAATCTTTCAGAAGTTCCAAAATGCCTCTTCTAATAAGAGAAAAATGGGTGAGCTGCACTCCATACCTCTTTGATGCGTCTTCCTTTTGTATATGTTCTATTGCTAAAACAGAGTGAACAGAAAGGATACTTTAAATGTAAAATTACTCCAACGTTGGTTCCATGAATAAAAATACCAATATATTAGTTCCATGTATCAGAATACCAAGGTCCTATGTAACTTGAGATTGGTAGTTAAGGAGAGCCTCTTTGAAGAAGCCACATTTAACCAGAAAGGGAAGAAGTTGCCTCCAGGCAGGGGCTTAATTTTCTCTGGCTGCATTGGAACAGTTACTCTCTATATATCTTTCAGAATGGGGCAGATTTAGGTTGAGGACGTTTACATTGTGATTGTATCTAACCTTTACCTCCAATGGGTTCTTTCATTTCCCTTTGTCCATATTTCCCCAAAAGAGTCAATGCTCACTCTTTGAGAAAATAAAAATAACCACAAAAATAACAAATACCTATATGTGTCAAAGAAATACAATTCTATAATATTTTGGGGCTCACCAAAACATATCTTTCCCTCAGTCCTTCCTGTATACCTAGCCCTAGTTAAAATTTTAAGCAAGCAGGAAAAAATCCAACTGAGATTGGAAGGGCTCAAAACAATACATGCTCAGTTGTGAGTTTTTCTGGATCATTTTTCTTAGCACATGTCACTTAGAACTTCTCAGGATTTCATAGTCTCCCTTGATAAGCAAGAAACATCCTTTTTTATCTCATTATTGGATGTTTTTATTGGGAAATATATCTAAGTGGATTTCAGGATCCTCTGCCTCTGGGAATGAACCAATAATAACATAACAGTTCAACTATTCCAAAGCATATCCTATGACAACCCCTAGACATTTAAATTATATCTCTGTAGTCTTTAATGGTGAATTACATTTCTGGGATAAAATACCAAACTCTATAAAAAGGAGCTTCTAGGTTTTGTGGGGTTTTTTTTTTTTCCTTTATAGGGGTGATTCATCCCAGAAATGGTGTTTTGCCTTTACTTGCATCAAGCATTAATAACCAGCAATCAGCAATGGTATAATTGTTAGCTTCATGAAAAATGAAAGAGTTTAAGGAAGTGTTTTTGTGAAGAGCCCACCAGTTATCCTTGAACAAAAGTTTGTATAGAAATTCTGAGAAGACACCAACAAAGACTAGTTAGAGGAAGAGGAAGAAGATACTATAGGCAGGACTGGATTGAAGACAAATGTCCTTTTAGAAAAATATTCAGAAGAAAGGAAAATATATTAAAAGACTAAAGATAACTTCTGAAATTAAGTCAATATAGGGTCTTAGCCATAAAAATAGAATTTTAGAGAACCTTTGTTACTCAATTTTCAAAATGCATAGGTTCTGATTTTGTATCTATGGGATACTGGCTTCCCACCCTCTTTCAATGGACTCCCATTAATGACCACATTGACCATGAAATTAAACCTCACATAATGTTTTAGAAAAAGTAGAACAGAAATTCGAAGCTCAACTTAAGAATTTGTACTACTTTGCAAAGAAAAAAAGACAAATGTATCTCGTTAGTAGAATAGTGTTTCCTACTGAGTAAAGAAAGTTTAAATTCTGAGTCACTAGCAAAATTTGGGAAAAAATCAATATCATTTTTACTCTTGAAAATGCATCATATATTCAGCAAAGACTTCCTTCCCCCTCTTAGGTAGCTGAACTAGTCTTCTCCTTGTGCAATACCCCAATTAGCAACTCCGGGGACTTCATGTTCTTTCTACTTGGCACAGCCACTAGGGGGGGTCCATCCTTTCATACCAACAAAGATTTTAAATTGTCAACATGAAAAAACAGTTTTCCACAAATGCTACAAACAGATCACAGTACACACACTTTTCTCTGTATGATAAAGGCAAGTTTGAGCCTAAATAAAGAGAGGCCGCTTATGACACATGTGCTGAAGCAGTCAGCTCCTTCAGCAACAGAGGAAAAGGTAAGTTCCAAAGGGTTTTGAGTAACCAGCTGACAAAGTCAGTATATCCTAAACCATTTCATTTTCCCAGTATTCTTCATAATCTCACATTCAAAACTTTGGCTGCTTGTCAGGAGACAATAGAATCTTCCAATGCCACTAGCTGAAAATGACTTGCTTTACTTATGGTTTAGCAAGAATTGCTAAGAAATGACTGCCTTGCTTCCCTGTTAAGTTATCATCCAAGCCCCACACTTTTGCTCCGCTTCGAAAAGTAGTTGTTATGACTATTACATATAAGATCAACGGCTTATCTCTTCTGTTATTATATTTATCACTTTCCAAACCTTTCCAGATTGCTGAGTCTTTAAAACATGAAAATAAGGAGAAGTATACTCTGTGACTACAATGCTAACTGAAAAGCAGAATGAATAATAAAATGTAGAAATTTGGAAGATAATTACAAGTATGTGTCCATGTATTCCATGCCAGCTCTGCCATTTCTTACTACTTTGTCTCCTTTTTTCAGCTGTTGGCTGGGCGCTGGCCTTTTGATCACAATGACTTTGGCATATTTCTATGTAAGCTGTTCCCCTTTTTGCAGAAGTCTTCAGTGGGGATCACCGTCCTCAATCTCTGTGCTCTCAGTGTTGACAGGTAATGTGGTTCTTTTCCTTTACTCTTTTGTTAGATTTAGAAAACCATTTTTGTCATAAGAAGGGAAGTCAAGAAGCATCGAGAGTTGGTGCCTGGATAGTTGTTATTTCAAGTGAATTAAAATATTAACGTTTTTACTCTACCGTTTAGAATTGCTTTTCACATTTACTGATTATTAGCCATCTTTGGCTTAGGCAATTTGCATATAGAGAATTTTGTCAATTATCTTCATTTGGAAGCCTAGTGGCAACAAAATTTTTAATTAAAAAGCATATTAAAAGGAGTAGAGATTGAACAGCCCTTCTAGAAAACAATCCTACTGAAGGTTTGCCTTCTGATTCAGTAAAATTCAGTAAGATTCCTATTTCTGGTATTGGTTTGCCTTACCCATACCATCCTCACCACGCATGGAAAAAAACATTAACTAAATATTCAATTACAAATTATCAGTTCTATATCAAGTGAAATGTTCTTGGTTTTTTGTTTTGTTTTTAAAGACAGAAAAATAATTCAAACATCTACAGGATGCCGCTCCCCCCCCAAAAAAAATGTATACACATTTAACAGTTGCTAACTCAATTGATGTTTCTTTCTTTTTAGATTTAACTCATTGGAATTAATAATTATTCAAAGTGTGTACACATTTTTGGCGGACACCCTATATTTTACTAAGTTTTAGGTCAAGAAGTTAAGCTATTTTAAAATTCCATTCCCACAAAAATCTACTTTAATCCAGGAATTCTTTCCTGGGTAATAAACTCATCATTATTTGTTTCATGGGTCCTTTTTTTATTATTATTTTTACATTTTATTTGGTATTGACTCTAAGCTTTGGGACCTACATGTAGGGAATCTATTTTGACATTTCTGTTTCAAAATGTTTCACATGAGAATGAATCATTCACAGTTAGTTCCTGAAGATAAGGTACCTTTGCTTTGAGTCTTGATTTGGTTGCATTGCATTCTACTAAAAATATGAAAATCTTTCTTATTATTTCTTTTACTAAACCAAGGAGTAAAAAAGGGGAAATTGGAACCTGTTACAAAACAATTTGCAACTTGGGAATCCATGCTATTAGTGTATGAGCTGAGATAAATTATGGCTCAGCAAGACTTTACATGATTTCTTTTATATATATATATATATATTTTTTTTTTATTATTGATTTTTTACAGAGAGGAAGGGAGAGAGAGAGAGAGTTAGAAACATCGATGAGAGAGAGTCATTGATCAGCTGCCTCTTGCACACCCCCTACTGGGGATATGCCCGCAACCAAGGTACATGCCCTTGACCGGAATCAAACCCAGGACCCTTCAGTCCCCAAGCCGACGCACTTTCCATTGAGCCAAACCGGTTTCGGCTATATATATATATTTTTTTTAATATCAGTTATTTCTCATTTCAGAGTTGTTTGGGGGGGAGGATAATGAAAGTAACTGTACATCCAGATTCTATACAGTTTCTTTATCATTTCATTGATTGTTCAATTAATACAGAATGCTATAGGATCAAAGAAAAGTTCTGTCAGCTTTTAAATGAGAAAGGTAAACAATAGATGTTTTTGACTTGTCCAAAAGTTGATAAGTTTTCATTGTTCATTTCCATTCTAGACTTGTCTGGGTTTAACCTTTTAACTAATTCCTTCTCAAATCTAACTTATTTATTTGTATTTTACATCCATAGTCACTTAAGAAAAAGATAAAGTGGGAATGTCAGAAAAAGATTGAGGAATTTTAGAAAACTATTTTGATCCCTAATTCAGCTTTATCAGTGAAATAATTTTTTAAATGCTAAGGTAGTATACTTCTAAAAGTATATTCCTATATTTCTAAAATGAATAAATTTTCCCAGCAAAATATGAATAATCAACCATTGCCAATAATTAAAGTACATATTCTTACATGCCATAAGTGATGGATTTTTAAACCTATTTAAAATATATATATATACATATATATATAAAATATATGTGTGTATTAATATATATATATTGATTTTTAGAGAGAGAGAGAGACCTCAATTTGTTATTCCACTTACTTGTTATTCCAACATATTCATTTGCTGATTCTGACAGAGTATTCAAATCTAAACCTTCCTTCCTATATTGGGACAAAGCTCAAACCAACTGAGCTATCCAGCCAAGGCAGGTGGCAACTTTGAGTTTTGGGAGGAGAATTCAGTGCTGTTCTTTGAAGTTAATAGTTGTATTTAAAGTAGAAGACAATGGAGGTTAGAACAGTAAGAGGGTCTGGGTACAGTTTCAACTTCCAGTTAAAAGTTGCCTTGAGTAGGAGGCTGTAAAAAGATAAAACTCCTTTAACAACTCCTCCAGAATGATGTATAATTAAACAACTGGGAAAATTGCAAATATCAGTTAATAAGGCAACTTTGATAGGTCTCAAACTCAAAATTTGATGTCAATTCTTCATCCCATAATCCTATATAATAAAGATGTAATATGCAAATTGACCATCACTCCAACACAAGATGGCTGCCCCCATATGGAAATGAGATGGCTGCCATAAGATGGCCAGCAGGAGAGGGAAGTTTGGAGGGACCAGGCCTGAAAGGGGTTGCAGTTGGAGGGGACCAGGCCTGCAGAGGAGTGCAGTTAGGGGTGACTGGGCAGAGGAGGGCACTTGGGGGTGACCAGGCCTGCAGGGGAGGACAGTTGAGGGGGACCAGGCCTGCAAGGGAGGGCAGCTGGGAGGGACTAGGTCTGCAAGGGATGGCAGTTGGGGGCAATCAGGCCTATAGAAGAGGACAGTTAGGGGTCACCAGGCCAGCAGTTAAGGGTGACCAGGTCAGCAGGGGAGGGCAATTAGGGGCAATCAGGCTGGCAGGGGAGTGGTTAGGGAGTGATCAGGCTGGCAGGCAGAAGCGGTTAGGGGCAATCAGGCAGGCAGACAGAATAGTGGTTCAGAGCCAGCCATCCTGGATTATAAGAGCTATGTCCAGATTGGAGAGAGTGTAGGCTGGGCTGAGAAAAAGATAAAGTGGGAATGTCAGAAAAAGACTGAGGAAATTTAGAAAACTATTTTGATCACTAATTCAGCTTTATCAGTGAAATAATTTTTTAAATGCTAAGGTAGTATACTTCTAAAAGTATATTCCTATATTTCTAAAATGAATAAATTTTCCTCTCCCCTTCCCCCGTCCCCCATGCATGAATTTTATGCACAGGGCCTCTAGTTTCAAATAATTCCTCAGTGGGCTCTGTGATATTAGATATCAAAGGTTCATACTAATTTAAGGAGCACAAAGGGGAGTTTCTAAAAACCTTCATTTGTATTTAGACATGAACATAGTTTCTCCTTACTCTCCTGGTGCTATGGTTTTCCTTTGCTGGATGACAATAGTGAGGATGTGGAAGAAATGGCTGAGCCAGAAGGGAGGACATGGGGACTGAACAAAGTCCAATGCTGGCTGTATGGAAACGTCGGATCTCATTTGGGGTTCTGTTCCCTATTTCACATAGTTATTCATTCTTTATCTTAATTCTATTGTCAAAACCAGGCAACTGGTTAATTTTGCTAGCTCATTTTTCTTTGATAACCAACTACCCAAGACAGTGGTTTAAAAGATCCAGAATTTTATTATTATTATTATTATACCACAGACAAGTCTTCTGATCCTTGCTACTTTGACTGTGGTCTCTCGGTGGATTTCTGCTGGCAGATGAGCATCTCTTGGGTGCAAGACTCACATGTCTGGCCTGTTGGCAAGAAAAACTGGAAGTCTAAGCTCAGCGGAGCCCATCTTCCTCTCCGTGTAGTCTAGGGCCCCTCAACACATTCTGCCCAGCAAGCTCAGGGCTCCAAGGGGAACCTGTTGCTCTACTTAGAGCCCAGACCTACTAGTGGTAAAGCATCGTTTCAGCTGCATCCAACTTAAAGGGCTCAGTTGAAGTATCACGGTATTTGCCGCTATATTTTTGTTTTTATGTTTTCTAAAATCATTTTTAAGTTTGTTTTTACTGTTGATATTATGACAGATGTCCCCATCTTCCTCCCCTTTGCCCACCTCCACCCAGCCCCCAACCCCCTCCTTCCCTCTGGCCATCACCACACTACTGTCTGTGTCTATGGGCAGCTATCTTTTAATCCACCACACTGTGCTTCTCTTTAAAATTCTCAATGCTGGTATTTTGCCTCCAAACCTTTCTGTGGCAATTGGGTTGTATATCGCATGAGACATAAATCATAAACAAACATTACAAATACATTCAGGTTTGCTGTTAATAAAAAATGTGCAGAGGTTAAGACAGAAGTGCCACTTTACCTCATGAAAGTGGGAAAATTGAAAGAAAAATAATAAATTCTAATGTAGGCAAATTTTGATAGGCACTTGGTAGGAAGGTTTTTTAACATACTTCAGTTACCTTTCTATTTCTTTAATTCAATAATCCTACCCACTCAAGATAATTAATCCTGGAGAATCATTCAAAGGAAGAAAAAAATATTTGTAGGTGTGTTATTCATAACGTTCAAAAACTAGAACTATGAACATTAAAGAAAGATTTAAGTAAATTGCATCAGTATCTTATTATACAGGGTAGCCATTAAATTAATAAATGATATGTCTCTGTAGAAACATGAGATTTTTTATAATCTAATGTAAATAAAGCTAAAATAAAATTATAATTGATTTTTGTATTCAAACTATGCTTATTAGAATAGAAATGGACAAAAAATAAGAAGAAATAAAAGATTTTGTTGAAGTGTTATCTTTTGAATTAGTTTTTTGTACTGTTTAAAAATACCTTCAATAGTAAACTTTTAAAAATTTAATGACCATACTAGACCATACTGTAAAGATTCAAAATATGAATTAAACATCTCTGGCCTTGATAAAAAAAATCTATTTATAAAAATACAGGGTGGGGCAAAAGTATAAGTATACAGTTGTAAGTACTGTGAAACACAGAGTTTATTCTTGTATCATTATTTATTGACTAGAGGCCTGGTGCACGAAATTTGTGCACAGGGGCAGGTACCCTCAGCCCAGCCTGTACCCTCTCTAATCCCAGGATCAGGCCTAAACAGGACCCCCCAGGATCAGGCCTAAACCGGCATTCAGACATCCCTCTTAGAGTGCTGGCTCCTAATCGCTCACCTGCCTGCCTCCCTGTTCACCCTTTACTGCCTCTCCTGCTGGCCTGATTGCCCCTCTCTGCCTCTGCATGCCAGCATAATCGTCCCTAACTGCCACCCCCCCACCACCCCCCTTGCTGGCTAGATCCAGCTACCTGGATCTTTCTCTGGTGTTCTCTGAAGCTGGTCACTGGATTGGAGTGGAGAGGGGGGCAGGTCTTTGAGAGTTGAGAAGATGAGGCTAGTGGATCTTCCATGAAAAAGAGGTGCAAGTCAGGCTTCAGGGAAGGTGGGGGAGTATCCCCTCCTCCCCCTCCCCAGAGCCACTCAACTCAGTTACTGACACCCCTTAGTGTGCCCAGATCTCTACAACCCAGCCCAGGCAGCTGACTCCTCAGCAGGGCACAAGCTCCCAAGGTGGTGCAACAGGGAGTCCAGAGTGTGAGGCAATCGCATTCCCTCAGGCTAATGTATATGGAAGGGAGTGTTCCAGCCTGGGGTGTGGGGAGAGGGAATCAGTACAGAGATACTGGCAGCTGTCCCTTTAGCTCTCTCTGAGCGCCACAAAGCCCAGTCTCTTCTCACGTGGTTCTAGTCCAATCTGCTCTCCCTCTGCTGGAGCCCAAGGTGAGTGGCTGTGAATGAGATTTTGTGCCTTGGCCCTTTAATGAGATTTTGTGCCTCTGTCCCTAGCAGACTCTCTTGGTCCCCTAACAGACAGAATCCCCACTGATTTTCACAGCCATGTCTTCCTAGCTCTGGTGCTCTTATCTGGGAAGCCTGGCTTGAGGTTGAGATCCCACACTTCTCAGGAGGAACCTTTTCAGCTGAAATATCCCCCAAAATCTTAGCTGCCACATGGTGGAGTGGGGCTCTCCCTTCCCCAGTTCCACCCTTCTGCAAATCCTTGGTTATAAGACTTCTCTAAGCTAGCCTTCAATTGGTTATTCAGGTTGGTTGCTCTACCCTTTAGTTGTAATTCCAGTCTGGTCCTGGGAGGAGGTGAGTGTAACATCCACCTATTCTCCTGCTATCTTGGATCCAAGCATTTCTTATTTTCCACAACTTTCCCACCTCCATCATCACAATTGTTTCTAATTGCTCTTATGGTTGTTTTCACATTTCATAGAGATTTTATCAAGACAACTATGATGACAAATGGAAAATATTCTAGTTCTCAGTCATGTGTGTTAATGAAGGAGCAGACTGATTATGAATAATTTACTAAGCTAGACACTAAAAATTACTTCTATTTGTTTTTAAATATTTAATTTACATTGGATTATAGACATGTCATATTCTGGGAACGCATGTCACATTATAAAATGAAGATGGTCTTTGAATATATTCATTATAAGACCATGTTGACTACATTTAAATCACCTTCTATCTCCAATCCTGCCTAAGACATCTGGTTTCCTTACTCCCTTAAGAGATAAAGTATTTTATTTAAATCACCTTTCTTGATAACAGATCTGAGAGAAGAAATAGTATAACTTATTGAGAGCCTCGGGATATAGACATTCATTCTCCATTTCTTTTTTACTGAACTTCAGGCTACCAGTCTAATAAGGCAACAAAGAAAAGTAAACAGAAATGGGTAGCAAAATAAATAGCAGTCTTTATCTTACTGGAAATAACCATAAATTTAAAAATGCAATCTTGGCCATATCGTAAAAGGATTTTCTTGGTCTCTTTGCAGAGCTGCATTTTATTTCATTCTGAACTCATCTGGACTTTTTTAGAGATTGTACTGCACACCAAACTATTTACCCTAAGATTTTTTTTGCAAAACATTTCTCCAGAAAATTGTGCTATATATATCCCGTGTGGCATCATTGTGCATACCAAAACTATAGACTCTAATATAAAGTGAAGAACAAGATAGCATAATTCCAAGAAGCTGTGTTTTCACAGAAGTACCTTAAAGATATACTGAGACAGAACACTGAATATAAGTGATGGGACTCATCGTGGTAGATATGGGTAGCTTGTAAGTTGCCTGGCTTTAGTAACCTTCCACATTAAGTCACATATCCTGCAAGCCCATGTGTACCTGTCTCCAATGCCTTCATCTGTTTTATAGACTTCTGGCTCTATCTCATGAAGCTATAAAAAGGAGAATGTTTCCTTTCCATTACAACATTAACAAAAATTTCAAGAATGAAGCCACAAAAATACCATGCTACATCACAGGTCATTTCTTAGTACTAAGTCTGAAAGTAGTTAGCATCAGACCATCACATCAGATCAAAGACCATAGAGTTTCTGAAACCAATCTTTCTTTAAACTTAACATTTAAATGTGATTATTATCACAGAAGTATTAAAGTAAAAAAAAAAGGTAAACACAATTTATTAAGGCCAATTTGTTTTTTAATTGACATAATTGTTTAGTTACATTTATATTCTACGCTTCTATAAAAACCACTCTTTTCTATAAGACTATGAATCCTAAAGATTAAAAATCAATGAATCTTTAAGTCATTTTTATATATTCTAGCTCAGGACCATAATGGAAATGATATAGTCATTCTTTGATATTTACCAGAAATACTCTCTATTTACTTAAACTGCCACCTGGTAGAGGTCCACTGTAATCATATTTTGAGGGTAGAAGAAAAGAAAAAAATGATGGACTATCTATGGCCACTATTCACTTAAGGATATCTAGCTACACTTCATAGATAAGGTTTTTGTTGTTGTTGTTGTTTTGTTTTTGTTTTTGTTTTTTTATTGAATATGGTCTCACATAATTGTCCTTATTCCCCCATTCCCAATAGATAAGTTTTTAAATGTTGTTATTTTGTAATATATAAAGAGGAGTATGATATTACCATTACAAGTACCAGCAGCTTTCACTACCTCTTCTATCATCCAATTTCCCCCCTGTACCCCTCCTCACTTAAGAAACATAGACACGCTGTCCTGGCTGGTGTGGCTCAGTTGGCTGGAGTGTCATCCATGCTCCGAAAGGTTGAGGTTTGGATTTCCAGTAAGGCAAGTTGTGGGTTCCATCCCTGGTCAGATGATGCAAATGGAAAGTTAATGATTGATGTTTCCCTTACACATTGTTTCTCTCTTCCTCCCTCTCTCTCTAAAATCAATAAAAACACATCCTTGGATGAGGAATTAAAAAGAAACAACCATAGACACTCCTATCTGATGTTGCCACATTTTATATTCTCACAAGATTATGCTAGATGCCAGATGAAGAGTTCAGACTCAGACCTGCCAGGCAATTGATTTCCAAATTGGTGGAACTTTTAACGGCCCCACTTGTTTTTCACACAAGAACTCCTAAGAAAGTTCCTAAAAAGCAAATGGTTGGTCACTGTCCAAGGGAAGGAGCCTGCCAGCATTTATAATTTTTTTTAATTTAAGTAATTCATAATTTTCTAACACCTTGGTTCCATCTCTTCATTTTTATTTTCAGGTACAGAGCTGTTGCTTCCTGGAGTCGTGTTCAGGGAATTGGGATTCCCTTAGTCACTGCCATTGAGATTGTCTCCATCTGGATCCTTTCTTTTATCCTGGCCATCCCTGAAGCAATTGGCTTTGTCATGGTGCCCTTTGAATACAAGGGTCAACAGCATAAAACCTGTATGCTCAATGCCACATCACGGTTCATGGAGGTACAAATAGTTTAAAGGGAATTAACTGGGGAGAGGAGGTGGTCTTCACTTTTACTTTACCATCATCACAGCTTGTTGATACCTCTGCGGTGCCCAGTGCTCAATCAAATATTCTTTAGTTGCATAAAAAGTAGATGTTAAACCAGGGCTTAGTTTCCTGAATAGAACATTTATTTTGTTTTTACTTTTATAGCACAACTGTTGATACAACTTTTGTTTTGTACCAAAAAGCGCAGGATTCTGAAATGCACTTATTAGAAAAGAGAGATCATATGTATAAAGTGCTACTTGTTTTTATAATGAGGAATACAATACAGCACAACTTCCATCTGACAGACATGCTGATACTTATTTTTGGTTACTCAGGGAAATATATGTTGCTCACACATTTTTTAAAGATAGATTTACTAACTCAAAGTAGGTAGGAAGTTATACTTACATGTACAAATAATATAAATTTGCAGAACTTTTTAAAAAGTGTTCCATTTAACAAATTCAGTTGTTATTGTTTAGTATACCTGGTCACATTAATATTTCTCTGAAAAGCCTAATCACATGTGTGCATCAGGAAACATACTTACAATGCATATTACCTTTGCAAAACTCGTCAAAGGTGGACTGAGGAGGAAAACCAAAAGGATAACTATTTCATTGAAATCAGCATAATTTAGTGCTTTGATGTAAGTTTCATGCAGCTCAGATTCCACATTTAATCACTTTCAGACATCTCAAGGTATGTTTTCCTAACTTGGAAAATTCACAAAATTAGTGGTTTTACAGTTGACCAGTTTTCCTACTTGGACACTCTTGTTTTAAAATTAAAAGTATTCATGAAAGCTGCCAAATTGGCAACCTTAAAATTAAGGTCTGTTTATCTACTGACTTTTTTATTAAGTCAAATCTCCACAGTGGAAAACAAAGCAGTCTGTAGGAGGTTATCAGAATTTGGGCAGTGTAAATAAGCAATCTAAATTTTCCTGAATAAAATGTTAAGAGAGAAGAGGCTCAACATAAGGAACTTACTAATCACTAGAACTGGACAAAATGAAAAGAAATACTTTGTAATGACTGAGTCTCCTTTATAAAATGGTCAAGCAAGGTTTTTCCTTCAGGCAAGAAAATGGTATGAGTATGAAGTGATAATTTTTTTTCAATTTGAGATTCTCTTTCTCCTCCTGTTTTTTGTTTATTATTTTTTTTCTCCAATTTTATTCTTATTCTTTGTCCCATACTTTCTCCTACACTTTGCTCTAACAAACTAGAGGGAGCCCCTCCACCCCCACCCCATGCCTTTGCTGATGACATCAGTTCAAACGGAATTTGTGACCCCTTTCTCTAAAGGCCTTTGCCATGGAGGGGGCAGGGTACTATGTCCAAGCCCCTTTAGGGGGATCATCATTCAGGCTGCACTTGGGCATTCACACCAGCCAGCAATGCACCTGGAAGAAGGGGATACAAACTGAAGAGGGTACTTAAAGGAGTGTTTGTATTGTACTTAAAGGAGAGTCCTGATTTTTTTTCTTTCTATTTGCTTTTTAAGCTCATTAGAGAAATCTTTCTACAGTGTGACGTGGATAGGGAAAGATCTGCATAAAATGGGAGTTTGACTTAACCTGAAGTTAAAATCCAGAGGTCTGTTCACTTGAATGAGAAAGAAATGACATGTTGATTTTCCTAATAGCTAAAATGTATCACTTCTTTCTATTATGAATATAGGCAACAAACTACAATAGTATTTAACAGAAATAAAAATAGTATTTTTTCACTAATAGAAATAATATATTTTCATAAAATATAACATTTGTGTAATCTTGCAATATCATTTATAGTCGTCATTGCTTCAACATTCTGATAGTTATTAGAACTACCATTGGATTTGTCATTTAATTTGTTAATAAACACCTATATTACTATATCAAGTTCTTATTTTTAATGTTTTGATACTGTTTCTGTGTAACTAGTTTCCATTATAATCATACATATTTCAATCTTATACATGTGAAGATAGTATTCCCAGAAAGGATTACAGTCTTCCCCAGACTTCCAAGGTCTATGGCATAAAAATAGTTAGGAACCTCTGCCCAGAACTTTTTTTCCTCAGGAACCATTTATAGATTATTTTAATAAACATGCTATAAATGTATCCCACTGTGACTCTTTCTATATTCAGAAGTTGTCTAGTTTTTCACAGAGCAACATGATTAATTTTTACTGTGGGAACTGAGATATTATAGGAGGCTGCATTATCCATAGTAAATAAACAATCTGAGGAGACAGAATAAGGAAAAGAAAAGCATTTCTTCCCCGAGTTGATAATTAATTTAGTGGGAAGAAGAATGTATATATAATTTTCCAATTTCCATTTTTATAGGGTATTAAATTTTATTCTTTAAAAAGACATAAAAAGTGAGTACTCCTGGTATTTACAACTCCTGACTACAGGGAGATCATGCCAAATATGCCTTCAGATAAGGTACTCTGTCTTGATAGTTTCCAGGTGGTAAGTATTAAAAAGAGTGAGAAGGGTCGTGATTATTTATGGCTCAAACTGGCTAGCTAAGAGGTCACATAGCAGGCATACCAGGCAAAGGGTTAACTCCTGGTAACCAAAGCTACACAGATAAGCCATTCATAACCTTCCCTGTTTCCAAACAAGATATTCACATTAAGTACACTTTGGCCGAAATAGCCAAAAGTAAACCAGATATTAGCAACATTTTGAGGCTCATTAATAAAGATAAATATATATTCTGTATGTCTCAGAATTGTTTTGTGGGCTTTGGAAAGGAATTATTTTTATTGATTAGGGCTCTTCCCTTGTACAATTAAAACCAACTTCAGTTTATAAAATGTATCTTTTTTAATGCAGCTTATTCATGTGGTATTTTATAAAGCCAGGATAACTTCCAGAATTGCCAATTTAATTGGGTTTTGATAACCATCCCCAAGCTCATTGCCACAATAAGAGAGAATGAATATACAAATGTATCTGCAAACATGAAGATTTTTAAGGACCCAGAGGCACTACACAGTTAATTCACGTTATACAGCGCCCTCCTTCTCCCTTTTCTTCATTTACAGTTCTACCAAGATGTGAAGGACTGGTGGCTGTTTGGCTTCTACTTCTGCATGCCCTTGGTGTGCACCGCAATCTTCTATACCCTCATGACTTGTGAGATGTTAAACAGAAGGAATGGAAGCTTGAGAATTGCCCTCAGTGAACATCTTAAACAGGTAAATGTAATACGATTATGAAAATCTGGCCAAGACTATATTGTCCTTCACAACAAAAGGCCTACAATTACTGTATTTCAAGATTTAGCCTGCTTTTCTGAAAATAAAAATACTATCTTATTTGTTTGTATGTCTTGTTTTCCTTATAGTTATAGTACTGTATTAGGTATTTCTTTTGTGAAATAGGGAGCCTACCTGGTTAGTGGGCCCAAATGGAGGAACTATTTATTGGTTTTGCCAACAATGTATTGACCATATGTGTTTGTGTGTGTATCCATTGAATTTGGCTTGGAACTGTGCCAAGACAAAAAAGGTGCATATTACTGTCTCCCCTAGCAGGCTTTGCAATAATGTTGTGGAAACAAATTACAAACCTGGAAAATAGAATCACAAGGTATGGCAAAGTAGCCTATGCTATAGAAATCCAGTTTGTCACGGAAAAACTGTTCGTGGATGAGGGGGGTTGAATTGTTCATGGAAGATAAATGGGTTTGATGGGATAGAAGAGACCAGCAGGTACTTCAGGTGGGAAAATAGGGGTCTAGTTATAATATGGCACAGAAACCACCCATTTGGGGAGTGAGAAAAGAGATGAACTTCATTAGAGTAACATCAACAACATCAAAGATGAGACTCTTGACAAGAAATGTGATCCTATATATTTGAAGAGGTCAAATTTTGGAGCGACCAAAGTTCTAGAATGAATTTGAATATGTCAGTAGGAGGCTGCTGTTAGTCCCTCCAGGGCAACAAGTAGAACAGAGCTTTAGCGGGGGAAACTTGGGTCTTATACTTACTTGCTGGCTCTGTGGCATTGGGGAAATTGCTTAATCTCTCTGAGCTTCTAGTTCCTCTTAAAAATATATAATAAGACATCAAGGGGTTATCTAATGCATGTAGGGTGTCTAATAGAACCCAATTCATAGTAAGTACTCAGAAAAAGTTCATAGGTATTTATTCGAAGAGTAAAACCAGGACTGTGAATAAGTTCTGAGTCCCAGCAGAGAAGGACACCCCACCACAGCAAAATTTAATGTGAGTTTCATATGGAGCCTGTAAATCTACCCTATATAATTACAATACACAAGCGTCATTCTTCAACAGCAGCTCTTTTCAACTACTTTACTAATTTTTCTGAGCTTCAGCTCCTTTATCTGTAAATTGGGCATAATAGCATATAAATCAATGTTATTATAGGAATCAAAGGAAATAATATGCATACACATACTTTATAAAAAATCTAACATGCCATACAAATGGTAGCTATTACCTCCTATTGAAATTTAATAGGAAAATTATATTGAGAAACTTTAGGATGATTGTTCAAGCATGAAAATTTCTAGTACTCCTGAAGTGAAACATATTAAGCAATTATTACCTCTCACTCCTGCAAGGGAAATAATTAATTAAAATAGATTTGTGAAAAACAGTGTTTTAAATGTTGATTTTTTTAACAGCACCATGATTGAACCTGTTTAAGCTGTAAGTGGTATTTGCTCTGAAAATAATTTAATAGGGGTATGAAACAATAATAATATGATGATGCTTCACATTTACATAGCATTTTTAATTTTGTAGAGCATTTCCATGTTATCTTCTTATTTGATTCATCCAAGCATATGTGGGATAGGCAAGGCAGGCATTATCCTTATTATACAGGTGATTAGGAGAGTGGCTCAACCAAATGGAAGTCAGAATCCAAAACTTGGTCCTCATGCAGCATAGACATTCCTTTGTGTCCCACTCGAAGCTATAGCAGGTTCTAAGAGTAGAAGAGCAAGCCGCCTGGCTGGAAGGCCTTCAAGTGGGACTATGGGGAAACTAGCTCAGAGTGCAAAGCCCTGCCAGCCTTCAACTGCTAGCCTATTGTGCTCTTGGTCTTGCTTCTTGTATGTTTCTCAAGTTTCTCTTCATTATGCTGACAACAATTTTATAAGTTGGGAATTGTGTTTGGATGCTGGTAGCAAAAACAAAATAACACTGAGTAGACCGAGGAGGGATTTATCTTTCTCCCACAGTAAAAAGTTCAGATGTCATTGATTCAGTGGTAAAGAGACTCAGAGGCAGGTTGTCTGCTAATTTGCTGACCTTTCATTATCACAAGACAACAACTACAGCTCTACCCTTATATCTGATTTCCAGGCAGAAAAAAAGGGGAAGAACATAGATCACATGAGTGTATGAGCATCACAGGAGTATCCCCCACTTTTAAGCAGTTTTACAGAGACCTCACACAATTTTTACTTAATCTAATTGGTCAGAAGTGTCAGGTAGCCATGCAGATGGTTAGGCCAGGCTCCCCCATTACTATGACAAAACCAAGAATCTGATTGATAGCAGGGAAAATAGGAGGATGAATATTAAGTAAGCAAATAACAGACTATAATGGCAATGTATTAATATTATCTTTTAAAAGGATTATCCTCTTTGATGATCCCAGAGGAGATCATCAAAGGAGATAATGCTCAGAGGAAATAACCTCTCCCCTAATACCCCACTTTTTTATTTTTGGGGAACACTGTCTTTCTGTGTACACAAAATGATCCTTTAAAATAATCTCCCATTCCTGCAGATTGGAATTCTTTATTTCTCTCAATCATTACTCGTTTTATGTGTTCTCTGAAGTATATCCCAGCTAGCCCAATAGCTCCAAAAAGATTCAAGAACTCTGTTCTTTGAGTTAGAGTAGCAATTTGTGAAAACTGCCCCCCAAATCTTTTTAAACAACTCTATTAATCATGTGGGTTGGCTTAGGCTTTCTATACTTAATGCTAGATGCTCTTGGTTGAAATCAGCATTACCCTTCCAAACCCTGTTTTCAATCAGTTTTATTTTGACATTAACTGATCCCAGTTACAGACAAGTTACATTTTATGTTCCTAGTTAGCCTTCTAAATGCATGCACTATAATACTCAAGCATAATGCACACAAAGAACTGGTTGCTGATAAACTCTAACCTGTGATTTTCCTGATCCTGTGCAGACTTGAAAGTATGTAAACCTTCAACTAAAGTCACTCCAGGGTCAGCACGTCCTAGGTTTTCTCATCCACATTGCTGATAATCCTTTACCCTCACCCCTATGTTTGCAAATAATAAGTCTTTTGGAAACATGTCATTAATAAAATATTTTAAAAGCAAAAATATCCCAATGCTAGCTTTCTTAAGGATCAACAAGTGGAAAAAACATATTGCTGTGTTGATGATTTTTGTTGTTTTTTAAATATACTTTTATTTATTTTAGAGAGGAAGGGAGAAGGGGAGACCGATAGAAACAATGATAACAGAGAATCATTGATCCTCTGACTCCTATACAATCCCTACTGGGGACTGAGTCTGCAACCCAGGCATGTGCGTTGACCGAGAATCAAACCACGACTTCCTGGTTCATAGGTTGACACTCAACCACTGAGCAACACCAGCCAGGCTTCTGTTGCTTTTTCTTTTCTAATTCCTATGCCTGTTTTGTTTTTCAAACATCTTTTCAGATTTGTCCATTCTTTAACATGGTGAGTTCAGTCATTTTGACTGTTATGCTGTAATTAATGCTTGTTAGTTACCTGTTATTAATGCTTTTAGATAATGCTTTCCCCCATATATTTGCCACATGTGCATGTGTGTGTGCGGGTACACACACACACACACACACACACACACACACACGTATGCAGGCACACGCACAGTGTTGGCTCTACTCCAGCCAGTTCCCATCTCTCCCTGCCATAGAACCTCTGCCCTTGTCCTAATAACCAACCTGAAGCCACCGTCCTTCGTGGCAGTTGCCCAAAAGAATCGGTAGCAAATCCTTAATGAAGTTGGACTCTAAATCTTAAAGAGGTGGAGGTTATGTGAGCCATACTGTTCTGGCTCCTCTTTGAGCTATTCTTTCTCTGCTCTCAACTACTTCCTTGTTATATGGTTCTTTTATCTAGCAGGAAAACAATGAATTTACTGTACTTTTTTTTTTTTTCTCTCACTTTCCTTTAGCGTCGAGAAGTGGCAAAAACAGTTTTCTGCTTGGTTGTAATTTTTGCTCTTTGCTGGTTTCCTCTTCATTTAAGCCGTATTTTGAAGAAAACCGTGTATAATGAGATGGACAAGAACCGATGTGAATTACTTAGGTATGATCCTATTAGGAAATTGGAGTTTCTCTGATTTTCACATTTATGATACTTTTACAAAACCATCTAGTCTACATTCTCGTTAGCCCTGAAAAATTAAAACTGCAAAGTTGATTATTTCCTCTTTAGCTGACATAACTCATAACTGATCCCAAAATTTGTGCAATCCATGTCTATAATCTTGCTGCTCCCCTCCTGAGGCTGTGCATAATAATCTGAGTTAACCAAGTGGCAAGTAAATCTTTTGCAGAACTAAGAGTGCCATTTAAACAAGAATTTTTTAAAAATTCTGACTGCTACCTGTGAGAAATGGCTTCTGGGCAAGAAAAATGCTTATTCTAAGGATAAATGCTAGTTTGCAGTTTTGAAAACATTATGTGCTAATTATTCTATTATTTTTCCTTTGCTCTAGTTTCTTGCTGCTCATGGATTACATTGGCATTAACTTGGCAACTATGAATTCATGTATAAACCCAATAGCTCTATATTTTGTGAGCAAGAAATTTAAAAATTGTTTTCAGGTAAGACTGTTTTACAAGTATTTTTAAGGAAAATCAAATAAGTATATTAACTAGCCAAGAGGCATGGCTAATTCACAATTATAAATATTACTTTCATCAGCTATACTTTTCAGTAGATAAGTGAAAATCATATTTTAACCAGAAAGATGGTTACATTGTCAGCGTTAAAAAAAAAAGCAATATCTATTCAGACAACAACATATTAAGAGGTTAAAATTAAAAATAATTAACTTAATAACATCTTAATTTAGTACCCTCCTTTAAGAAGAAAGGCTCAAATTTGAGCTGCAGGTCATAAAAAATACATAAATCCTATTCCTTCCTTATATTTTTTTAGATTTTAACACCAATCTCAGCAAAAAATAAACTCTATTGTTAAGAAAGCTCTTTCTAAATGCTACTTAATAGTATATTTAGTAATAGCCACTTCAAAACAAGTAAATACTTAAAGCTTGGGAAATCTGAACTAATGTAATCGCATTTGAAATCAGTTTCCTTGTGTTCTTCAAACCTTCTTGTAGATAAACCAACCCATGTCTTCCAGAAGCTCCAAGCACAGTTCCTGGAATGATTTTAGCATAGAATTAATCCAAACTGGATTCTGTTCTCTCTAGCCAGGATGTTAGCTCATGGTACATTTTAGGAAGAGTAGCATAGAGATCAAGGGTGCAGGCTCAAGAAGCAAATAATCTTGATTTGCATCATAGCTCTGCACTTACTGACAAACGCAGGTCTGGATGGTGCCCTTCCTGCTTCCTTCGTTTGCTGGTCTGTAAAATCAGACAATCACAATATCTATCTCATAAGTAGGATTCAGTGGGTTAATATATGGTAAGTACTTGAAACAATAATAAGTGCTAAGTATGACTTTATTATTATTTGGGATAGAGTGGACAGGAAAAAAACACAGTGACTGCCCTCATGGAACTTAAAATCTAAAAGGAGAATTATACAATATATGAAACTTGGTAGTTTCATACAACTTGATAGGAAAATAGCAACTACCACCTAGTGCTGTGAACATCAGGCGAGAGGTGTACAATGCAGAGAGCCACACCAGTGGTGCACACTGAAGAAATGCTAGGCCCCTCCTAGCCTCCCATTCATGCCCACCCCAAGTCATACAGTAGTCTTCCTCTGGTCAAAACTGCTTCCCTCTTTGACTTAGAATTTAAACAAGAAGCAAGGGATATATTTCTCTGCACTAGAATGGACAATTTAGCTTCTACCTAGGGGTTATAGACTCCATACCCTAGGTTACTGTTAAGGTTCACATTCTGTCCTCAAATGTATGTGGACATTTACCCCTTGTTGGTAGGAACATAACACATGTCATGCCATTTAGCATCTGTTTCTTTTCCCAGTCTTGCCTGTGCTGCTGCTGTTACCAGTCCAAAAGTCTGATGACCTCAGTCCCCATGAATGGAACCAGCATCCAGTGGAAGAACCACGAACAGAACAACCACAACACAGAGAGGAGCAGCCACAAGGATAGTATAAACTAGACATATTAAGAAACATTAATCAGTATTCCTTCAAACCTTATTGGAGGGGGGGGGAAATCACACCGCCACTATGTCTCCAGAAGTCTCTTCTCCCATGACTCAGACCCACGCCCGGAAAATGCTTTCCAAAACATCAGAGAGTAGACTGGTTCATGCCCACAAATTCAATGAATCTTACTTCTTTAATTTATCTAATTTACATATTCTGTATGTTATATTCAACACTAAAAAATGGTAAGAGTTGGCAGGGGAAAGGGAGACCGTTAAGTGAAACCAGAAAGATATTTACTACATTTGCATGAAAATCGTTTTCACGAACATGACTAGCTTTCATGGCTGTTCTGTCAAATGTTTTATGAGAACTGGTCACCATGAAAGTTTGGAGGTTATAAAATAGAGATTTTTTTGTGTTTTTTTTTGTTTGTTTGTTTGTTTTGCAAACACAGTATGGGCATAAGTCACCTTAATTTTGAAATGTCATTCAGTGCCAGTATTTTTAACTATATAGTACCCTAAAAATGATATCTGAGTTCATTTAAAAAAAAAAAAAAAGTAAAACAATTTAGTGAACAATTAGGTTAATGTTTCTCATGCCACTGAGGGGGCAGTGTTTAACATAAATTTTCAAGCTGCAACAAATACAAGACTAAAGCACAAACTGATAACCACACATGGCAGTTTAAAGCTGCTATTCAAATAATTTTTAAGGATCTATTTTTTATGGTGTTTCATTACAGGAGATCCTGAACATTTTTTCTTGTTAAATTTTAATAAAATAATGCTTGAATCAAATAATTCTATTTTTCATAAGCCCAATCTATTTTTAATGTATTTTATGTACAATCAATATCATATACCAAAATATAAAGGTTCATGTTGTTTAACTATACCCAAGACTTTCAGTTCAATTCATAGAAGTCTAAAGATACATAGGAGAATAGAATTGAATAGTTTTAGATTTGGAAATTTTCATTGCGGTTTTTTAGTAATAGTAACATATATGTATGTATATGCATATATATGTACATATATACATGTATGTGTGTATGTATATATAGCATACATATCACCTCATATTCTCTTTATTAGCTTTAAATGTTAACTGGCATTTAAAATATCTTTTTTGGTCATTCCCTTTTCCATATAGGAAACATAATTTCAAAGTGGCCGGCTGAGTTTATCATGTCAGTGAAATATAATAACCCAAAAGGCCACCATAAACTATGCTTCCTCACTTCTCTGGGTTTCCAGTGTGAGTTTAAACACCTCCCTGACTCCCACAACTCACATAGTCACCATTTAAAAGGGCCCACAGTGACTTTTGCTGGGTATTTTCCAAGATGTTTACAGACTGTGAGTAGAGCAGAAAATCTTTTACCATGTGTATATAAATATAAATATCTATATACAACTGTACATATCTTGTAGCCAATTCTTCTGTTATTATCTCTATGGAATATATTTGTGTGTGTGATACATGCATGTGTATGATGTTATATATGGACGTATGTAATAATGATGCCCTGTAGCTGTGCCAAAGCACACACTTGGACTGGAATCTAGGTGGTTGTTTATCATGACAGTCGGCCTCAGTCAGTTTTAATCTGTGTTCATAAAGCATATGACTATGTTACCATTGCAAGTGGAATATGGGAGGCAGAATAAAGGAGGACAAGTCATGTGTTAACAATAGGGTCTTATTTGTTTGTTTGGTTGGCTGATTAGCCTGTTTGGTAAAACAGTATTTGGGATTGTTGGAGCAAAAGTCATTAAACAATGAGTAATTAAATTGTCTTAATCCCCAACTAACCTCAGTGATAAGGTTGACAAGTAATCTAATGTATATATCAGACTTCACCAAACATATTCCTGATGATAAATTAGCTAATAATTTGTTGGGCTGTGTTTTAGCACCATCACATATAAAATGATATCGGGTTCCAATTGACCCCATTGCAGGGCTTCTTGATGTGTAAGCAGTTGATTCCATTATTTCACTGGTACATACCATGCACTGATATTTACCCATAATGTAAGCCATAAATTTACACCATTTTGTTTAAACAACTATCTTTTTGTTTAAGATGCTTTCTCTCTTACATATGAATAATGCATCTTATAAGTTCAGAAAGTCATAGCTTTCCTAATAACCACACAGGCTTCAATGGACATTTTGTTTATGGACTGGTAAGTAACTGTGGTTTACTAGTAGGAATATTTCCAGTTTCTACTTTTACCACATCTTTCCAAATAAAACTGTAGAAATGAGCCAAAAGCCAAGGCCCTGCATTGGCAGTGGCCTGTAAGTATAAAATAAAGTTTACAGAAGCCTTGCAAGTGTCTCTTCATTTTTACATAGTTCTTCAGAGAAAATGTTTGCTAGACAATGCCTATTGTAAATCTCTTCCTCGTAACAGCCAGTCAAGCAATTTCACTTTCAAATGCATACTTCCTAACTGTGCTGCATTCTCAACTTATACTGTTGTGCTGAACACATATCTCCTTCATTCATTCCTTCATTCACTTTTCCAGTAAATTTTGCTGAGCATCTGCTATGCCCCAGGAATTTTTCTAGGAACTAAAATATAGCAGTGAACAAAACCAGCAAAGTTCCTGCTCCAATGGAGCTTGAATACTAGCGGAAGGAGTTGGACAATAAACAGTTACAGTCCATAAATAATATATCAAATGATACCTAAAGGAATAGACTCATATGTATCCAACTGCTTATTTAACATCTCCAATTGGATGACTAACAGACCTACTATATCTAAAACTAAGCTCCTGATATACCTCTAACCTGCGCCACTATAATATCCCTCTGCTCATGTATTAGTCAGGATCCAACAGAGAAACAGAGCCAATATGTGTAAGAGAAGATTTATTATGGGAATTGGCTCATGTAATTATGGAGGCTGAGATATGCTATCATCTGCCGTCTGCAAGTTAGAGAACAAGGAAAGCCAGTGATGTAATTTAGTCTTAGTCCAAAGGCCTGTAAAATAGAGAAGCCAATGGTGTAACTCCCAGTTTGAGGCCAAAAGCCTGAGAACGTTTAAACAGCCAGCTGATTTAAGTCCCAGAGTCCAAAGGCCCAAGAACCAGGAGTGCTGATGTCCAAGGGCAGTGGAAAAAAAATGGATGTCCCAGTTCCAGAAGAGAGAGAGAGAGATTTCATCCTTCCTCTACTGTTTTTTCTCTTCAGGTCATCTACAGATGGATAATGCTAGCCCATGCTAATGAAAATACATCTAGTTTCCTCTGTCTTCTCATTAAAATGCTAATCTTATCAGGAAATGCCCTCACAGACCCACCCAGAAATAATGTCTTAGCAGTTCACCGGGCATCCCTTAGCCCAGTCAAGTTGACACACAAAATTAACCATCACAGCTCAGTTAAAGACAGCTCCAGCCTTGAAGTCATTCCCATTCTTTTCTCTCTTATACCCAATGCCTCAGTAAATCCTGCTGGCCTATCTGCAGACTAGATCCAGAACCTAACCACTTCTGTTTACCTCCACCACCTTTTTTCTGAGCCGCCAACATCTCTGATCATGATAACAGCAATGGGCTCCTATCATGCCTACTTGTTTCCAGCCATATAAACACCATATGCTAAATGGAGCCTATATCTCAAATGCCATAAATGGTCTGAAGATGTTCACATTCCCAAGGTAGGCTGACTAACATCCCTTGAGGATTTTTTTTAAAAGAGCTAAAATAAGAAGAGGAGGTGGTGGTGGTGTAAGAGGAGGAGGAAAAGGAAGAGGAGGAGGAGGAGGAGGAGGAAGAGGAGGAGGAGGAGGAGGAGGAGGAGACCGAGGAGACTAAAGTAAGAAAGCGTCCCTTCCCAATGTGGCAAGTCTGGGAGGTTGTGGACCTGGGAGCTACAGTCCACCGTTGTTTGGGCATTATGAAGAAAGTCTATCTAGATTGTATAAAAATGAAAGAGGGCATTTAAGTTCCTGGTTTCAGTTTCCTCTCATGCTTTCCCCTGGCTTGAGCAAGCAAACCAACACATTAACACTTTTACCTCTTTGCCTATGCTAGTTACATTTGGTTTTCTATTTTCTTACAATATATAACATTGCTAAGGTCATCTTACTTAAGTTATTCATATTTTCTTCTTATTGTTGTTTAGATTAATAGGCTTTATGTTTCTTAGAGTAGATTTAGGTTTACAGAAAATTTGATTGGGAAGTACAGAGTTCCCACATGCTCTCATTCCTCCCTCCCTGCACAGTCCCCCCAATTATTTACCTCCTGCATTAGTGTAATAATTATGATGAACCAATATTGATTCACTATTATTAACTAAAGTCTATAATTTACATTAGGATTCACTCTTTGTGTTGTACATTCTATGGATTCTGATAAAAATACAGTGACAGTTATCCACCATTATATATCATTCAGAATAGTTTCACTGACTTAAGAATCCCTTGTGCTCCACCTTTTCTTCCCTTCTTCTCTCCACCTCTTCATTTACCTTTTCACTCAACACAGATCTAGTGAACACCCACCATATTAAGCTGTGTTGCTAGGAACACAGCTATCTATAATAATAAAAGTGTGTTTAGACTGGATGTCCTTTCTTCCAGACAAAACTTCAGTGAGTAGGGGCCACTGCAGAGGCTGCAGAAGCCCCAGCCACAGAGACGGTGGAGGGGTCCGGGGAGGCCATGGCCAAGGCCCTTGCACGCATTTCATGCATCGGTCTTCTACTGACTAAATAAATGCAAGGAAGTGCGAGGTGGTGACTCAGTAGGCATCAGCTTAGGAGACAGTAGAGACAATAGTCCCAATTTTTTCAACTTCAGCTGGTGACCTCAGTGAGCACTGTGAGGGCTCTTACTTCTACAATTCTTATTGTAATGAGCACAAATATGTCACTCCTGGGAGAATGGGATAATAATAAGCAACAAGAAATTGCCTCTACAGTAAGAGCTTTTGAAGTCAGTAAACACATGTTAATCTCTATTCAAAAATAAATCTATGCAGTAAATTTAAAATTAAAGGAATGAAACAAATTGGAGATTAAATCCAGGATATAACAGACAAATGTAAATCTTTCACTAGTCTGTTACATCTATTGTTATTTTTAGCAGCATCATTACTAGTCCATGGTAGAGTGTTAGCATTATATATATAGGGTGACCCCAAAACATGTATACACATACATTTTTGAGAGCTTAATTGATGTTTATTTCTTTTTAGATGTAACCCAATGCAATTAATATTTATTCACAGTGTATATACATTTTGGGGAGACACCCTATATGTGAGAAGTGAAGAAAATGCACTCCAGGCTTGAAAGTCTGAGTCTACAATTCCTTTACTTGCAACATAATCTAGTGCAGCTCTCCATACTTCAAGCAAGCAAGGTTAAATCAGGACACTAGTCCACCACATGCTTTTGATTATTTCTGAACTTCCAAGTGGGGTCTTCACATTTAAAAACCTCAGTGGCTTTTAAATAATCCTACATTTGGAGAATCTTCTGTCACACTTTCCTCTAAGTAGCAACAAAGACAAACCAGTGACTATATTTGGTCAGGCCAATACT